CGCTGAAGGTCAAAGCAATACTCCACCCCAGATCAACAGAACAAAGGAACGTCATTGAGGCGAACTCTAGCCAACGGAACGCAAGAGCTAACTACCCAGTCAATTCATGTGGACCAATCGACTGCTGACGTACGAATCAGTAGGTGAGCAATAATCACCTGGATCTGTAAGTGGCCTGCATAAATCGCACTGATGATGTCGTCTAGCCTGATGATGAAACGTCTGCAGACAAATCACCCAGCTCGGAGAACACCCACATACCCTCATCCGTATCCTGAGCTACAGTTATTCTAACGAATCTACTACTAACCCATTATGACTCAACTGCCAATTTTGGTCGCTGCTGATGTCTCCGCCTATGGGATAGAGGCAGTTCTCTCCAATTGTCTCCAGGATGGTTCCGAAAAATCCGTTATGCACGTCTCACGCACGCTGACGCCCGCGAAGAAAATCCATGGTCAGATTGAAAAGGAAGCCCTGGCCATTGTGTTTGTCGCCACAAAGTTCCACAAGATGCTATATGGCCGGCGTTTCACCCTGCTGACCGATCACAAACCACTAATGTCAGCCTGCGGTTCTAAGAAGGGCATTCCCACCTACTCAGCCAGCCGTCTACAGCGTTTGGCCCTCATTCTTCTTGGTTCCGACTTCGAAATCCGCTACTGCCGCACCCAGCATTTCGTTTAAGCCGACATTCTCTCCCGCCTCATTTCCAAACACGCTACAGTGGAAGACAGCGCAATTGCCGCTAGTACAGTCGAGGGGGAGGTTCGTCACTAATTATCGAGCGCTATCTACAGTCTCCTCGTCACTGCCGCCGATATAAGTCGCGCACCAACCCATGACCCTATCCCGCACAAAGTTGTCACTTGCGTTGCGACACATTGGTCAAACACTACGCTATCTGGAGAACCCAAGCAGCTGTTTCAGCGCTGCAGCACACTTGCTATGGTCGACTCCGGCCTCACGACTGCGAACCGAGTCATTGTTCCTTCCTGACTTCCGCAAGCTGTGCTTCGTCAGTCCCATCCTGCTCACCATGGTACGAACAGAATGAAGGCAATCGCCCGCAGGTGTCTACTGAATCGCTATTGACCATGACATTGAAGATTTGGTTCGCCGCTGCTCACGATGTCAACAAGCAGCCAATATGCCACTATACCAACCATCAATCCCTTGGCAGCCAACAAAAATCCGTGGTCCCGCATGCACATCGACAATGCTGGTCGGATTGAGGGTATCTCCTCTCTAGTCGCAGTCGATACCTAACCGTAAGGGCCTGAAGTCGTCACTGTCAACCAACTGACAGACTCCACCCCTCTGGCTTGTTTGCGGCGGATCCTCAACCAAATTCGACTTCTCATTGTCCTGGTGTCCGATAATAACTCGCAGCTCATAATTTCCATGTTCGAAGCTTACTGTCACCATCATTGGATTCAACACCTCCGCTATCCAACGTGCAATCCTCAGTCCAATGGTCAAGTGAAGCATTTCGTCGTGACGTTCAGGAGAACACTTTTGAAAGCTCGTGAGGTGTTGACCATCGAGGAATGTCTACAGGCGTTTCTGATCTATTACCGGATCACTCCAAATCCAGCAGCTCCAGGAGGTCAATCTCCAAAATGGGGGATCAGCAGTACGTCGGTACGCAGTACCGACACTTCCCTGTCGAGCAACCACCACCGGCCGCACACAGGCTAAGGATACTGCGAGGGTCGCCTTGCCCCTAGGCAGGCTCGAGCCCGTGGCGACAGATTACAAGACAAGTTTTTACCTTGAGGCTACGGGCCGGAGAGCAGGCAACCCAGGTTGCTGTCTTCACCAATCGCAGTGGATTCGTCCTCAGCGCCCCGGTTTACGCCCGTGACTATCGAGCAGGTCATTCACGTTGGATCAAAGCAACGGTGACTGCCCACCGAGGTGAGCTGCTGCACGACGTCTCCGTGGGCGCTGATACGTGGGTTCCCCATGGTAATCAACTTCGGGCGCGACAAGGAGAACCCAGCAGGCCCGCCAGTCTGTCTGCACTTGCCACCACACGCCTTAATTGACACCTTTGGCATTGCAGGGGAAACACAGACGTCAGCAAACGCCACTCAACCGCACCGAAGTCTCGAAAACTGTCATCGACGACAAACAGGACAAATCCATAGTTCGCAAAAATCGTTCCAGGTCAGCGCTCGTCAGAAACGGTACAACCTATCTTCAAGGAGTGTTGCGGGAGCGCCAAGCAACCACGCAAAGTTACACACCACTGCCCGTGTCATCAGAACATGTGGCACGGGACGAATTTCCTGCTTCCAACGCAGTAGATTCAGGGCGAGCGAAGCTGGTACGTAATTGAGGATGTGCCTTTTGTATCTCACATCTCGACGTAGGGATTTCTTTTCCCTACAATCGAGGCGGCATTCTGGTCCGTACTCCCCTTTGCTTAATCGTAAAAGCGTCGTGCGAACGTCTGTCTTAGTTTCCTTTTGCGCAAGGGACTAGGGGTGTGCGTCGATCGTTGTACGGTAGTCAATTGGTCGGCAGAGCTTGTGTGTGTGGCTAATCGCGGGTAATTTCCCAGGGGTGTTGCAATCAGTCGTCCGTCTACCCTATGTGCGGGGCACGGTTCGCTGGAGCGATTCACACGTCGAGTAGGATCACCTACGAGCGAAGCTTGGCGCGCCGCGTCACCGAACTAGGCCGAATTGGTTGCTCGCGTCCAATACAGAACGGGGGCGACGAATCTATTGCCGATCGACAGCGACTTGGTTATAAATCCCAGAATTACACCAGGTTGAGTAAAACAAACGTCAGTAACGTCCTTTCAGGCTGAGTGCAATTGTGATTATTGATGAGTGGTGGGGATTTTTGTGTAAGTTGAGATGTAGTTCTTCGCAGTCCCCTCAGTCATGCAGGTTCCCACACGGCTGAAAAAGCGTGAGACAGCTGACTCGACCTTAGTTTTCGCAGTGACGCAAGTTCCTCGGTCATTTGCCGGGTTCCGACCCCCATGGCTTCCGGATGTCAGCAGCTAGTGTCACTAGCTCAGGGGTGACGGCCGCGGACCTGCATGACTGACAGTTGACAATGGTATAGCGCGGCTCATCCTCCACTGTCATGCTAGTTACGAACTGTGCAATGGACAGTTGTTGGCGCCAGACCTACGACTTTCCGTATAGCGACTGTGTACGACAAACACTTAGAAACTATACGGACGGATATTTTGACTACCGATGAGTGGTGTGGATCTTTGCGTAGTTTAAGATGTCGTTCGTCGCGGTCCCCTCTCTCTGTATTTGAGCTTCACAAAGAAAACTATCCAAAATACACACGCCAGAGTCCGAAACAGCTTAAATGTCTCCAAATCAGAACTGCACGCACTAGACTCCAGGGATGCAGATGTGCTATGACTGTTGCGTAAGCTCATGCAAGAGAAGTGTGACCTCTAAGACACAATGAGTCGCTGAAATCTCTTCTCTTATGTCCAACTAGTCACGTCGGTTAACGAAGATAAAAGGGAAGAAGAGACTCTATGAACTGCCCTAACACATTCCGTTGATGAACTACGATGAAGCTGCGTTGAAGTTTATGTGTCATCATGGGCGAACTCACTCGACGCCGTAAGGATGTGAAACCGCATAGTGTGTCGCAGCAGTCATTTGTATTAGAGCGAAGATCGAAGGGAATGTATTGTGGAAGTTGATGAAGAATATCCGTAAACAGCAACAGTTAATGTTTTGCCGGTATTAAGCATCAGCTTCCATGTGATCGGCCGTCCTTTTCACGTTAATTAAATGCACCTTTTATCTATCCAGACTAGTTTCCCTCAGTGGCTATGGTTAGAGCTTGTGTATCAGTAAGCTGCAATATGTGGCGAGGTCCAAATGAACTGATAAGACTAGGCAGAAGTCAACCGTCGCCGGATCTAGTTGCGATAACAGTACTGTGTGAGTAAAATCCTAGTTACTACGATAAGTGCCCTATAATACTAACAAACAGGCTCACTGTGCCGAAATGGCTCATTGTTAAATAACGGTAACCCTGGTAAGTGGTAAGATTTTCACGGTTACCAAACATCTTAAGCATACAATCTTGGATTCGTTGTACTTAATGGCCAATGAAGCATGCTTCATAGGTAGCGTTAGCACAACGAAAGTGCAATGAGTAATTGCAGATTGACTACGGTGAAGGTACTCCGAGTGATAGACATGACCTCAATCGTTTAATGAATTTAATTTCAAGAATGGTGCAGAAGAAACTTGATAAATATTTGGATTAAACAAAGCTCAGACTGAGCCAAACGCCCATATATGTGACCGTTAACCAGTGCCGCTGCGATTCTCCAAAAGGGGATTAAGAAACGATCCCTCGCATATCTGAGTAACCTCAAACCACAGCTGCATGCGATTGGTCAGGAAGTGGTTATCCCTGATCTGGCGGAGAGCATATAACTGAGACATGGAAGGGAAGAACCGGTTTCGTTCACGTTGGAGGTATTACCTACAGAGGTGGCCAGAACCAAACCTACGAATAAGCAATGGGAGCCAGCATAAAGTACTTCCTAAGCGCATCCGTTAACGCGCGGTCGGAATCAAAGTCCAAAGCAGGGATGATCGAGGGAACTCGAATTATTCCCCATTGCCTCGACTATGAGTTTGTAAGCCAGCATTTCACTTGAGTATCCTTTCTGCTGAGTGCTCCCATTACTTCTGAACGCAGCCTTCGTTAGCCGAAGTTTCACCACCTAACAGAATGGTCGAAATTAAAAAACATTACCAAACAAATACATTCACGGCGCATTTACATATACGATGATGGTGCTGCCTAACGACTTGTGTAATGTACTCATCAGTGAGTATTAAACTCATTTGATCAGAACCAACAGTATAATGAAGTTGTAGGAGTTGTAAGTGAGGACAAGCCGAGGAAGTCAAAAATAGCCATAGTAGAACCTATGATGAGGCGAGTTCTGGATAAGTAATTTCGAACTATGAAGCAAATGGTCAACTTACTTCGAGGTTATTATAGTGGATGGTTTGGAGGACAATGGACGGTCCAGAGGGGTGAGTACATCGGACGACGGTGAATACCGAGTGACAACCGTTGAATTCCATGGCTTTTTAGTCGTAGCGCTTGAATTCGGCCGATAAAGGTCCATTTGGTTAGCAGCCGAGGCGGATGTTGAGTTGTTCGTCTCTTCGCTTGATGTGCAAGCTGCGCCAGTTCGAGTTGATGAGAAACAGCCCACGCTCTCAAATACCCCGAGTAAGGAGGGTGTGGACCGCCTGGATCGGGGCTCAGTGTGATAAACTCTAAATGAATCCGATTTACGACGGATGAAGTCTGAATCACTTAAGGGGTTCTTGTGGCTTGCATTCAAGTTTCCTTTCTCAATGAGTGGGTCACCACCCTGATTATCCGGTGTGAGCTCAGACAAAATTGTCTCACAACGTGATGCACCATCAGTGCCGGAACTGATTGTGAAACTGTCCACAGAAATCACTTCACTTTCGTTAGAGCGCAGCGCTTTCAATATCTCCCGCTGCCTCTCCAACCGAACAATCTGTAACGTTTACGGGAAAGCTGTTAGAATGACCTTTAGTGAAATATTAGTGAGCTGCTGATATAGAGAGAGAGTGAATATAACTGCATAAATTCGTACTTGAAAAATGATTGCAAATCTCCAAGTATCAGGCAAATCAGCCCCTTTTTCCTGTCGACCGATGCAAGAGGAAGATAAAATGTGGTAGTGCGTTGGACAAGCTATACAGAAATGTGTGTATACGAGAGAAGAAGGCTCACTTTTCGTTCGTTCATTTGTGCTGCTTGTTTATAAGCCTTTCGGGATTCCTTCCTCCTTGACGGTTCATCAGCACACCGTAAGTTGGCCTCCATAATGTTACGCAGTGCGGCGATCTCCACATCAATCCAGGCAATAGCTTGCGTTTGGTGCTTCTCGTCCATAGAGGTGGGCTCTGAGATACCAGAAAAAGCAGACACTTCACTGGGTCCAGCACTCGTGCCCCGTTCGGAATCAATGTAATCATCCATTCGATTTACTTCGCAATCACTAGATAATGAACCTGACCGCGAGCCACGTAGATCTGTCAGACTCAATGACACCACGTCGGTGCGTGCCATAGACCCGCGACCGAACAAGGCCGTACGGCTAGCTGCTTCCTTTCGCTTGGCCCAGCTCCCACGATGCACACCACCACTAGTTGTGGCCGCTGTCCAACTGGATGGTCCCGGTTTGATCATACTGAGGGATCGAAAGCGCGAGCTCCGCTGAAATGTAACAAAAGGAAGTGGATATCTGCTGCGTGATAGCTTGTGATAAAAGTAGACATGATGTGCTTCACAAGACCATAGTTGTATCAGGTGATCCCTATTCCATAATGTTGTTCAAGTTAGTTCTCTATAGTATCCATAGACATATCGATATTTAGTTTCTTTCATCATACTGTCCGCTGAAAACTAATTACACATGCATCTGGGCGCATGCGCCGACTGCGCTGCAATCTGACGCTGGGGGAACGGTTTTTATTGGTTCTTATCTGGAGATAATCAATGATGTGGTCAAAGTTTCTATAGCCATCTAGGACACTTATTTAGCTTAGCTCCAGTTTTTTTTACCATCTTCAGAAGAATGGACGCGAAGTACCGTGCCTCCTGCACCTTACGCGCTGCTCACACTGTTGACCGCACCCTAAGGGCTGTCTGCATATAGCCTAACTGAAACTGTAGGGGAGACGTTGTTTCGGACAGTTCAGCGGTTACAACCTAGAATGTATGGCCGGAGCTGACGGAGGCGCAACCAAAGTTTGCTCACAAAAATGGGACTGCGTGTGATAATGGAGCTAAGAAATAGTTTCCGGAGTATCCTCATATAACAGTGGGTTGGCTGACGCGAAAGGCATGAAGGAGTCATGTGACTGGCGAGGTTTCATGCTGCACGCTCCCTACTTGTCCATGTTTGAGTACTATGGGCCAGGTCAGCCGGTTGCGAGTGGTTTTCTACAGGATGTTTCACTACTCAATGATCAGTCTTCTCAAACAACGCTGTTCACATTCGCGCGTACTTAAAGTAAAAGGTGTAAAGTTAGTGACTAGATTATTCGATTAATCGAGAAAAGAGACACTGCAGTTTAATGGATGTCGGTAGTCTTGAATTTCTTTGGTGTGGACACCACGTGAGAACAGAGCGGAACTGGTGAAGGCCCACCGCATCCGGGCAGTTGTGTGGCACGTGATAGCCATAAAAAATATTGCGCCTTTTACCTTGAGTGTAGTGAGCATATTAACGTGTTTGAGCATGCCATAACTAAATACGCACTGACCGACTGCGTGGATCAACTTTCCGACTGTTAAGGCAACAGACAAAGGACCTACTAAGTAAGTAGTAGCGGCTGCTAAAGATACCTTATTCTCAAGCGCGTGCCCCAAAGATTCGGACGGAGCGCCCCGCACTTGGTGAGTGGTCCAGCAGAATTGGAATATGGGGGACCTTTAAAACCAGCCAACCAGTCAAGTGGATGTGCACATGAACTCAGTCTGCTGGGTTGGACAGAGCACATGTGTGTATGTTCTGATTACCTGCGCTGCTCGAGACCCACCATGTTATCGCGTTCGAACGTGTTCAGTACAATGATGCACCGCGAATCATGTATGCCCCAAAGGGCCACAAACATTGTGTGGTAACGTGACCCAAAGGGAACACTGAGACTTCTTACAAAGAAGTGCGAAAGCTACTGAGGCACGGCAATGGTATACTACTTTAAGGAACGCGCCAATGATAGCGTGAAGAGAGTGTTAAACACGCTTATTACCCGCAGGAATTCAGTTTTAACAAATACCAGAATGTTGTGATGGTATTAGGACTTGGGTGTGCTGAAGGGGACAGAGGATCGCATTCCACTATTGGCCTCTTCAACACCGAAAATGGGTGGGTAGCAGATAATTACAAAAATTGTAGGCTCTTCTCAGCAACAAGCTATCAGTACAGTAAGAAAATTACGAAACCGCACCAGAAATAGTCCTAAAACCCGGATGTGTCGTATCGGAGTGCGTAACAATCATAGCTTGTCTTGTGAACAGCTAGCGCGGTGTTAAACCGCTTTCTATAGCTGCTGGTTCGACTGGCCGCATGCGGGTAACAGCATCTGTTGCCGCTTAGATGACCGTTGGAGAAGTGGAATAAGTGTTTCATCATCGCCTGACAGGTGCAAATATTCAAAACTATAAGTCCATTATTATTTAGTCGACCGTAGCAGTACAGAACTGGGAGACGCACATCCGTAGCGAGTAGATTGTTCCCTCATGAAGCGCGTCACGTGCTACACGAATACACGTGACTACGTAAATAAGAGTAGGCATACCTGCCTAATCGAAGTGCAGGCGGGATGTCAGAAATGTGGCCAAGAGGACGCAACACCGTCGACCAGATGCAATACAAACCGACTCACGCACACCTGTTCCGCGGGCTTTACTGGATAGCAAACCAACTAACAGGAGTAATCGCTTCTGAACCATAGGAACGGCAGTGACAGGACTGATGGACTGAATGTGAGTTTGAGCAGACAAACGGGTGAAAAACAGTGAACTTTTACACAACAACTACACCAACACGACCTAATCCGTTGGCCTGTTTCGAAGCAATGAGCAAAGTAGTAGGATTCTGCTGATCAAAAAGCAACACTGAGTGAAGTAAAAATAATAATAATAAGGTGTCAGCTGTACGCCGTAACGGCGCTTTACTGCCGTGCGACCATCACCAGTCGCACGCGGGCTGAGTATACCCCGAGGAAGCCCACCACCACGCGGATTCGAACCCGCGCCGCAAGATTACGAGACGAGCTCGTTACCTTAAGCCGAGATTGAGTAAAGTACTAACAAATAGCAGTGAAACTCAGAGCGATAGATCCATTTCATGCATGAGTCAAACGTCCGAATCACGACTCACAGTTTGCAGACTTGTTTGGGGTCTGGCAAATAAAGCATTGTGATTTTTCATGCTTATTCGGTCATCTTCGTGAAGCGACAGTCGACTCGTCACCAACAGACACTGTGCAGACGGAGAGAGCTTCAGACCAGCTTTGCGGACAGTCACCGGGGAGATTGGGAAGCGAGTCTCTTGAAGACGGCTTCCCAATAGGCCAGTCGATAGGCAGGGGCCAGACATGGAGCAACGCCCCACTGCTTCTCCTGTCACTTCCTGTCCCGAAGTCGCGTTTGGGATGTGGTCTGAACGAGGCCAACAAGAAAAGAATTGGAGCCGCGATGGGTCAGTATGACGGAGAAAATGGTGAAAAGCATGCTGTAAGAGAACGCTAGTGGTCCGGATAAGCGTGTACGAGTAACGGTATCTAGTCTGGAGTGAAGGCGACTTGGTGAAAAGGAAGTTGCACGAAACCCGTATCTATTTAACGCACGCATTCGCAGCCCGCTAACCTAGTTCGATTAGTTTCCAAGTTATCAGCTGTGGTCCGAGCACTGAAATGAGGTTGACGGAGGTGCCGACTGTCATCTAACCATGAGAAGGAATTCCAACTACAATTAAGCCAGGCAGAGCACACCGGAGAACTCCCTATTGTTAAGGATGTAGGGGAGATAATGGCAGAAGTTCGATTTACGGGAGCACATAGTTAGGCAATAAGCATCCGTAGTTAACGAAAAGTATATGGAGAACGCGGTCCTCTATGATGTATCCAAAGCCTGATTTATTAAAAGGTTCGAACGGTCGTAATTCAACATGCCCAAAATTTTGTGTACTCGAATGGTTCCACTATATAGTGAAAAACTAGGCTCGCAATACCATGATAGTCCGAGTCCAAATTTGAACATGACAGTTTGTTATCATTTTTCAGTCCGAATACGCTGTAGCTCGTGAGTAAAAACCGCTAATTATCGTATCATCCAGCGCAAACACAACGGCAGTGCTTTAACTGGGTACCTTAGCAGGTACTGAACTGTTGACGTTGGTTACTTCTTCCACATGAAACAGAACTCAGTAAGCTCCAATCTCATCTGGTTCACGATCCTTGACATCACCATGAAGGATATCATCTGGTCAATAGTGGGTGTTGCCCGCCCAAAAACACTGCATTCCTCGATCGGTTTTGGGTTTGTTTGTTCTCAACTGGTAGAGAGAGCAGGTACTCGAACCCGGGGTCTGTGGAATGTTGACCAAAAGCTCCACTCCCAAGCCACCGAATCGCGGAGGGCAACGTTGATTATCACAGGAGGCTACAATGAACAAACTATGACGCGTTCAGTTCCATCTGGTTCGGTAATCTATTTTTGTTAGTGACTCTTCAGGACGTTGTTATCCCACCAAAAGAAACCAGCTTTAACAGCCATCGTAGCTGTAGGTACTCAGAAGTGGTATGTTCTCTACGATTTTCAGTTGAAGGTCCCATTACTTCATGATGAAGCGTGCAGTTTGTTTAGCGGAAACCTATAGCATCCTTACCAGTACTGAGTGATTATTCTAGTGCTCAGTTGTTCATGGGGATTAGCCAGCTCGTGGTATACACCCAGAAACTGAGCATGTCACCAATCAGTTTGGTGTGATCATGAACAGATAAAACGATGCGGAAATATACGTATTGGACCTGCAGGTGTATAGAGCATGATCAAAAGATTATCCTCTCTAACGCAGTTGGTTCGTTGGCCGATGGTACAATGAACATTTTTATTTAACTATACGGCCACAGTCTAGTAAAGTCAACATTTTGAGGAACAAGGGTTCAGAAATCAATGCGAGAAGTTACGGTGTACTTCAGTAGGTTGTTAAGTGAAACAAAACAGGCAATCCAGTTCGTCAGTTGTTCGAGAAATTGGTTCGGATGTATAAAAAAAACGAATTATATGCAAGTGGTGTTGCTATCACGTTTTGCAGTTTCGCATGCTTGATCCAGCTACAGTTTTGATAAGTCGGTCAGTACAACATCCAATGGATCCATGCGAACAAGCTAACTAGCTAGTAGAAAAGCCCGCCATCGTCATCCATTTCTTGGCTTATCAATTCTGATGCTATAAATATGGTGTCCGAGATGAAAAACGTAGCAAATCCAAGAGCCCACAAGTTTGTCCGAGCGAAACTACGAGTTCTTCGACGTTTGATTATAACCGTCCAACTTGGAACTAATTTATTCGTAAGGACAAAAGAGCTCACAATCCGATCGGCCAGGGAGACGACAGATGTATTCTAGGGTGACAATGGGACGTTTAGTGCGTCTCGCTTCAGCCCCAAGATGAACACGTTACTCAATTCGGTTGACTCGACACCAACCTACCCTCACGGAAAGATTTATTTTAGGTTTTCCGGTTTCATTGTTGGCTCGCACTTATACAGCGATTGCGTCACCGTCATTGCACCAACCGACTCAATCGAGCTCTCCAGCTGAAAGTAACTGGCTGAACTAGTAACTACTGTTGAGCAGGCAATGCTGGCTTAATTCGACCTGGCATGACGGCCTCGGCAAGCCTCAAAAGAGTGAAATGGGACGATACAACACACTTTGCACCACCGAGGTGAGAGGGAGCCGGTGACTGGCCGAGTAAGTGTGCATGCTCAGGTACGAGATAGGTGGTTCTCGTGAGTTTGGAGAATTGGATGGGCTGATGGACACCACGCTGTAGTTAGTCTGGGGTTGTTTCTTCACTCAGAAACTTAGCTTTTCATCAATTCAGCTTATAGTACAGATTCAGTGGTTGCATACACACTGACAAAAACGGTGTGCTTTTGTGCCAATTGGTTCATCTCCTCTTACTGAAGGCAATAACAACAATCGAGTTCCATAGAGGACCATAGCCCCCACAAAACATTAACTGGATACAAAAACATAAGGTTCTCCGTGGAAATACTGTGTCGGTGTTGTCTTGCATGAGAAGTCAAGGCAAACGTTTGCCACCAACACCATCTCTCGACGTGCGTATATTCGGTGAGCGTACTTAAAATATGCTCTGCCTCTTCAACCAGGAGACCGCTTGAGTATACAGATGTGGTGTGGGCATATACTATATTATTGGAGTACACTTCTGTCCATTTGGTGTGAGGTGAACGAGATGCAGACATAGAGCAGACTGTGTGTTTTAGTATACATGAACCCCCAAACGATCTACTTAGGTATGAGATTTGGTTGACACGGACGCTACTAAACACTACGTATCATGGATGGGCTGAACTTCACTATCATATCTATGTACGGCTTATGATAAGGTGGTGATGATAAATTTGAAAGTTTTCACCGGAGCCAGAAGAACTAAGTGCTCGATCAGTACATGACCCGATAGGTTACACCCAATCGCTCCATCATCTCGACTCTAGCAAATCACCGGAGGGATAACTTTGTGTGTAATAACAAGGGCCATTTAAACAAATATACATGTGTAAATAGAAGTTTATCAGATTTAGCCAGACTCAGACCGAGAGCCCTCATATGTCCGAAAAATCACTGTACAGTGGCTTCATACGTTCGGGAACCGTTAGCAGTGCGCATTCCATCTGAGGAACTTACCTAGTCCTCTGCATGGCAGTAACGGCGCTGAATCACATCTAGGAACTTATTCGCCTCGTTGGCTACGGTCCGCCGTAGCCTACAGGTCGTTACCACGGACTGGTAACAGTCGAGTAGCGGGTTCGAGCACTACAAGGGTCAGACATAATGCACACTGGCAACGATTCCAGAAAGGATGAAACGGCAGTACGGTACTTTTCCGGGCGTGTGATGGCTGTTCGTTTGAGTTTAGATGTGAGTAATCTCTACTTACAACATTCATTTCCCCCTATTATTCCGTCGTGTTGGGAAGGAAAACTCTAAGCTAACAACCGTGGTGTCCGTCGTCGTTACTGAGCCAAGGCTTGGCAGACGAGACAAACTCGTCGGCACTGATTGCGTCGAAGCAATGGCCAACCAGGTGAAGCGGCCAATTAACACGAGGGTGGCATTACTTGATTGGCCGTAACTTGACCCTTCCAGAGTTTTCCAACTGAGTTTCAAACGCCATTCCCGAAGTTTCGATTCTACCTTTATAATGAACGGTGTGATTGGCTAATACACTGTGGCCGGGATGTGTCTACCTATTGTCATGGACGCACCGTAAATTGCCGCGCATTGCGCGCCCTGAGGAAACCCCGAGGAATTCTAACGGCAGTCCGGAGATCCAATCGGATCTCACACGATGCACTACGCACCAAGTGCGGCGTCTGCGTACCGCAACTTGCACAGCGCTTCACGCGATGAGGCGCAAACTAGGGATACTTGAACGATCGATACATTCTGGTCAGTGTTTGAGGAAAGAAGGTTTCGCGGAAAACTGGATGCCTGTGGGCTCTGTACTGACTAATGTTTAGTCGCAGCACTGAAGTTACCGTTACGTACAGGGTCTACTGTGGTAAAAAAAATGGACATCGCGTTGGCGGACGAACGTACACGTGGTGCACAACTGCTGCTATTTCATCGCAGTTATGTTCCCATTAAAGTAGACAGACTGACGTACACGTAAGATAAGTTTTCGATGTGCCCGTATTTGTATCAAAGGTAATGTTAAAACACAGTTACGGTGGGCATGCCGGTAGACTGAAAACTAGCTTCCAAAGAAGCACTGTAGGAAAAAAGCGCCACTTTCAACTAGACTTTTCACATTAGGAATAATAACGACTTGGTAGTATTTTGCTTTCCTGTTAAGTGAGACAAGTTTTATCTAGAATTTCACTTTCCTACATAACTTACGATACTTAAAGATTACCAGTTTGTTTCAGTTCAGTTTAGTAAAGTTGATAAAGCATGATCCGGGCACCAAAGTGCTGTGGATGCAGTTGCCACGAATCGCGTCGCCAGAGTGGCAAAAATGAAGAATGATAAGTAAATGCGGTTAGACTTAAATATGGTATTAGCAGAATGGAAGCAAGAACGAGGTGCATGAAGCTAATCGCGTTGAAATATGAACAGCTACACGCAAGAGAACGAATCCAGGAGCAGCACTGACTCCGACAATGCGCCACGTCCGATAGAGTCTCTAACCATTGGTTTGGACTAGCACGAGGCCCCCATCTACGAAGACGGCACGTACCTGCTTGACCAAGTCTCTCAGTCAATTTCAAAATGAAGCATGCGGAATTTATCGTAGTTTTATCAGGGCTTAGTTATCATACTTATTAGTAATGGCACCAAAAAGGTATTAATAGGAGAATGCAGTTAACCCCAATGTATCTGTTCTGTAATAGTGAGTAATCTGAG